GTGTGTGTGTGTGTGTGTGTGTGTGTGTGTGTGTGTGTGTGTGTGTGTGGGTGTGGGTGTGGGTGTGTGTGCGTGTGTGTGTGGGTGTGTGTGTGGGTGTGTGTGTGGGTGTGTGTGTGTGTGTGTGTGTGTGTGTGTGTGTGTGTGTGTGTGTGTGTGTGTGTGTGTGTGTGTGTGTGTGTGTGTGGCACACCGCTGTACATGCGGGATCGTCAACAAGCACTGCACAAAGAGATAAAAATGAGCACGACCTTGCAATCAAGAAGGAGAGTAGTCCAACGAAGACGCTCTCAGTGCACAGTGATATGGAGATGGGGCGCCATCTCCACGTACCTGCAGTAATGGTTAAAGATGTACTGTAAAACAAGCTGTGTATGGTGCATCCTCGCTGTTGCTTCAACCGCCTCTACAAGAACGTGATTTTCGTTTTGAACATCTGGTGTTCGAGCATGGGGTGCATTCTTTGAGCTGTGATCACGACATGAGACCTCGAGCCCATCAAGTCAGAACGTCTCGAGTGGTAGTTTGCAGAGCAGGGACAGCGTAGCCGAGCAGAATCGTTAGAGCATGTCGAGTGAATGAGCATGAACATGGACAAGAACATCAGAACATGGAGAAGGTTCGGAGCACGAGCATGTCATGACTCATGTCGAAACACAGTACATGCATGAGTGATGAACGTTCATGATGAGCAGAGATGTGATGCTTTTCCATGCTTTTCCATGCCATGTTGGAATGCAGAGCATGTGTGTGCGTCAGAGCATTCATGTGAGACACGAGTCGTCATGTTTGGAGTTTGATATTTTCACATAACACTTCATTCGCGACCTTTCTACCTCATCACTCACGAGTTCGTCTACTACCTCTTGTTCGAGCATATCCGTTTCCGGAACAGCATCCACTACAAGTCTCAGTGGAGCACTAAAACAGAAAGTGTGTTATACAGCCAGCCCGCCCAGTGCCTAGGGCTGCGGGTGTCGGTGGAGCCTCGCTCCTACGCGTGAATGCTGCCTATGTTAGTCCCCACTCCGGTGCGGACGCATAGGATAATGATAAAACTTATCTCGCCTGGCGAGCGAGAATGAAAAGGGTCAAACATTTTCTTGGAGTAGTAACATGTTGGGTCCACTAATGTGGATTCCGCCCGATGATTGGCAAGAAGGCCGGCGTGCCTTATGTTCTCAGATTTGGTTTAGGTCGACGAGTCCCAGCATCCGGCATGATTGGCAACGCTCTTCCTTTGGTTCTGCTACATTTTTGAGACCTTAACAGATAGCTAGCCTCTGTGCAGATGCGCTGAAGAGCCTAGCGACGCAGCATCAATGGATGGTCGACAATGGCAGCCTCCTCCACCTCCCCCTCCAGCTCAAAGACCTGGAGCACCGCCGTCGACACCTTTGACCCCTTATCAACCTACGTGGCAGATGACGGATGCACACGGACCACCATCCGATCAGCTTCACGCCCCGCCTGCTCGTCAAGGACATCGGGGACAAGACGCCCAATGGCCGAACTACGCAATGGTGACTCAACAAGGCAATCGTCCCCGGCAGCAGCGTGTTCCAGCTCCTTGGCAACAAGACCAAGGCCGAGTACCAAAACAAGTAGGTGGACCGCAAGATCCAGCGCAATATCCACACTCCCAGGTGCTACCAACCAATACACACTTCCTTCTGGACCCGGTGGACATCACAGACCAGGTCCTTTCGCTCAAGGTCGTCATGTCGGAAGAAACTCCAGGCCCATCGAGAAGGCGCTCTTCTCCACGCAGGCCAACTACACCACCGAGCACTACGCCGTCAAGACGAAGGAGCTCGTCCAGACCTTCCTCAAGAACCACCTACACTCGTGCTCAAAGCACGACCAAGACACACGGAACACACGTCTTCGAGCAGACGCCGCAAGAGTCTTTCATCGACATCATCATCGAGGCACCCCGCAACCAGGACAACTTCCGAGGCCTCACGAACAGAGTTACATCACAATCACCACAAGTTCACAGCCAAAGAGCGAGAACACCTCGGAGACATTTACCAACGTGCGCTGCAAGATCCACATCGCCTCGAGTGCGTCACGGAGGTGTACTACTTACTACTCCCAGGACCCCACACCTCCCGCTGACCCAGTCGATCCTCGCAACCGCAAGTACATGAACGACCTCATCGAAGACATCAATACGATCACCACAGGTCACCCATGCTGGGACACGGAGCCGGCACGCAAAGCGATAAGACAGGTCGCCAGATCCTTTGCGTGCGCTCACCCTGCGATCGCACCATACCTGTGTGGAGATCCAAACATAGGCCCGCCACAGTTCTCTCTGACCTCGATCCAGCCGGAGATCCTGGACTTGGACCCATACAGTGCAAAAGCCAACAGGGACAATCACCCATTAGTCCAGGTCCTTGTCATACCACTTCGACGCACCCGTACACCTCCTTTTCGACAAGACGACGCCAGACCTTCTTCACCTCCACAACATCGAGGCACCCACCGAGCATTCTGGACCTGTGTACATTTTCAACAAGAATGGGAAGACTTCATAAGTCAAAGACGAGCCCTACTTGAACTTCAACAATGTACCGCCGTGGACCAGCAGGGCGTCTCGCATGAGTGGCGCCTTGTTCGTTGAACATCCGTTGCTAGACGTTTCACCCTGCGGAGTGGAACCATGCACCATGAATCGATTTCGGACAGATCCCACTTCTGCACAGTAGCATGGCATGAATGCATGAGGTGCTCCCTTCACGCTTTAAGCATGGAACACGCGTTCACGACAGTCTCATGCATTGAACATGATCGCATTCATGCTGTCGCAGCGTCCAACCCGAGTTACACAACGTGCCCCAGAGTGACACTGCATTCATATCATGGCCGACAGAGATAGGAGGCATGCTGAACGTCGCGCCCGCATGCATGACCGAGACCAAGATCCTAGAAGATTCAGCACACCAAGACCATCAAGACGGCGCAGGAGCAGATCACGCACGCCAAGATCCCCATTCGCGCCGCGAAGAAGTCCCCTTCCAAGTTCGAGACCGTCTTACAAGAAACACAGGCAATCACCTGCAACCAGCTCAAGACGGTCCACCAGTCGAAAACCCACAATACGTCGCCGAGATCCAGGACGCAGAGGTCACCACAGCTTACCGGTGTCAACCGTCCGCCACGTCCACACCCTGCCACCAAAATCCCAAGGCACGGGCCAAGGAGATCTTGAGAGATGTTTTCAGCCAACCCGACAACGACCTCCCGGACCATTGGGATACTACGGACACGCTATATGATCAAAATCAATACGGAGGCCTACCACTACCCAAGATCGTCCCCGCTACAGCATCAGCACGCAAGAATGGTACATCAGGAATGGATCCGTTAGACATCAAGGTCTGGCAGGTAGCCTTCGAAGGGAAGCACAACTACATGCTCCGACAGCTCGCGAACGGGAGGTGGACCCTGTTCCAGGGACACAAGTCCCTACCCATGGCCAAACCAGCTCCCACTGTACCGGCTTGGCCGCCGGCCCCCAACCCCGCCCCTTGTGCGGCATCCATCCCACAGGCCTCACCCACATCCACAACGCGCTTCCCCGCCCCCACCATCGAACCCCAACACAGTCCAGCACGGAACACACACCGAGGTGGAGCTCGACAGCACACACGTGGGGGGAATTGCACGCCCTCATATCAACCCAGCCCAGTCTCCGAGGCACCAACACCCACGCCCAATCCTGCGCGTAGATGTAGAGCGCGAGCGTCTGAATGATGGTCATGTTTCTCATGTCGTGCCAAAAGGAATGTTTCGTTGTCTTACCAGCTGACTCGATCAATGTGCTGCAACATGGCATGGCATGACATGTCATGGTCTCACTGCTACTACTATGGCAGGCTTTGCATATGCCGCGTGCTATTTGATGAAACTTTATGGTGAATCATGAAGGTACGCGGAGCGCAGTTGGTCTAGGTTCTTTTTCTCCCTCCAAGCCGAGAGTCGGAGGTAGGTGAGATAGAGCAGGACTCGTTTTTGCCGAAAATCAAAACAAAATGACCAAAGATAAAATGTTTCCGAGCGCAGCGTGGACGTAGCTGCGATCTTGGTCAGTTTGTGGATGTTCGGCTTCGCGTCCGTGTGCTCTTCGAGTTCGTTCACTGCGTAGTGGAACTGGACGATGTAGGATGCTGTCTTTGCGGAGTGGGGTTGTAGGGTGTTCTGGAATTGGAACGGTGTTGCCGGGTGACGGAGGATCTGGACCCTGGTCGGAAGTAGTTGTACAGGTACGTGATGGTTTGGTCATGTTTTTCGAGTTGCTCGTCCAGGCATATGCGGGCTTAGTCAATGCTGTCGGAGACGGCTTGTTTGTGCCGCTTGTTCTCTCTGGATCTCAGTGATCTTTTGGTGGATCTGGCGTATGGAGCTGGTGTGTCCTTGTACCATGTTGTCCATGGTGGATCTGGCCGAGTCGGCTCTGAGGGCAGCGAGTCGCACATCTTGGTGCCCTTGGAGGATCGCATTGGAGCATGTGTGCTTGTAGATGTAGCTGACCAGTTCGTTCAATTCCGCCATCATGCTGTTCATGGACACAAGGCGATCGTTGCGAAGGCCGATGATGTGTTCTAGTGCCTCGATTCCCTCTCCTTGTTCTGCTTTCCGCGGTTCGTCTATGTCGTCACGGGTCTGCGGATCTGGCGAAGGTTGCTGCACAACTTCTTGAGGGTTGACCTGGGCATCCGGTGCGTCGCCTGTAGTCGGTGGTGAAGTTGATCTGTCCTCCGGGATCTTGTTGGTCGAGGACATTGACGTCGACGTGGACGGCGTGGCTACTGATTGCGTGTGATTGAGTCGTGCGTGCTACCACTTTTGATGTGTGACTGCAGCGCCAAACATTTGCACAAACGTGTGAACGTGGCATGGAAAAGCAAGTGCCGACATGGACATGATGTGTTTTTTCATGGGCAAGCGAGTCAATCATGAGTGATAAAGTTCTCGAAGTTGCCGTCTTTCTGGGTATGCGATCTTGGAGATCATGTGTCGCCTGGTGCGATACGCGCTGGCTCGGTGTATCATGGGCGTTGATCCGCGGGGTGAAAGAAGTTGGTGGGTTTCTGAAGGAAGTAGAAGCCGAACTTCACCATGTTGGAGATCTATGCTGCAACCTAGGTAATCTGCGTTGTCCTGCTCCTCGAGCAATATCGGTGGACCGTAGAACTCCGTCACGTCCACATAGCGTTTGGTGAACTTGTTGAAGATCTGGCTGGACGCTAGCGTCGATCTGTACGCGTTGTACCATTGATGTTCTTCTACACAGCGTACCATGTGACACAGCACTGGGGACATAGGATGTCCCATGGGGCTTCCTCTGTTTTGCTTGTAGACTTGTTGTTGTGAGGTGAAGTAGCTGCATTTGAGGACGTACTGCGTGATGTCCCAAATGTCGTACATGTAGATCGTGAATCGTCCTTGATTTATCTTCTTGAACTTGCCATTGAACGTTCTGGCTGTTCGGAGGGTTTTCTTGGTGTCGTAGGTGACGGTGACGTCCTGCCAGTTGCTGAAGCCTCGCTGTGACACGTTGAAGTACTTGTGCAAGGTGAGCGCTTGAAGGATGCGGTCTTGAGGTACACTGGTGAAGAAACCTGCTAGGTCTGCTTTTTTGCTGACGTTCATGAAGGTGTGGAGGTCTTTGAAGATTTTGTACGAATTGTCCTGTTGGAGAGCGTCGGGGAAGGCCTGGTATATGATGTTCGTCAGGATCTTGGCGACCACGGAGAAGAGCTTCTTGGCTGCACGCTGCCGACACCGGTGTGAGCTTGACCTTGGTGAATACTTGTGGGTCCCCGTACATTTTGTCCATGAGCTGCTGGAAGTGGAGCGGGCAGTATGCCAGCATCTTATGAGGGCGATGATCCTCACATGCCAGAATGTACTGCTGGTATTTCTCCTGTAGCTTCTTGACCATGTTGTGGTCGATGTGATTGGCCGACCGTGTAGAACTTCTTCGTGCTATAGGTTCGAGGGCCAGCTTGACTGATTGCTCGGACGCGCGTGTTGAAGATGGAGGTCGATGACCTGATGCTCCTTCAGTTCCTGCGTAGGTGTAGGACACGTGCATCTTCTTGTCAACCTGGGGCCGAAGCATATCTTCTGCCAATTGTGACATTGGGATTCAAAGCTTGAACCTGGTCGGACCACCGCTGTGGTTTTTGGTACATGTAGTGCACATACTTCATGACTGTGCGTGGTGAGTAGTGCACGAAAACTTCTCGCAAGTGAGGGGCCGAATGTTGGGGGTCTCCATGCGTCTCTTTTCCAGTGCTTTGACCAATGCAGACTTGCAGAACTCTTTGTATGGTGATTCCAGTATATTGGCCATGCGTAGCAACATGTAGATGTTTTCAGCGGGGAAATTGGAACTCATCAGTGAGCGCGTAGTTTTCCATCTCAGTGCCGTCGTGGAACATAAAGACGTGATGACGCCCCACATTCTTGCCCGGCTGTCAACGCGGGCCTTTACTGATCTCCATGTGGATGTCTTGCGACGTAGATGTCGTTGAAGTCGAGCACGTAGTTTGCTGGCAAACACGTTGACGTTGGCGATGACCTGGGGCTGGAAGGTGTGACCAGTGTCCTCTTTGAAGTGCTTGTAGATGAAGGGCGCGTTGAGGGAGGTCTGATTGCTCGATCATGTGGAGTTCGCCGATGTCGCGAGCATGCCGAACTTTGAGCGGGACAAATTCCCAGTACGTGCCGGTGATGTGCCAGTAGTGAATGGCTGGTTCAGCGTTGACCAACTTCTGGGCCGCCACGGAGTCATGCTTTCTGCTTCTGTTGTCCTCCCGTGTAGTGATCTTGTTGGACGTGCTGCCGACATACATGCGCTCATGCATGCGTCAATGATCTACTCGCCAGTAAACTGCATTGGGTTTGTTGAAAAAGTCGAATGTGTAACTTTCCGGAGTGAGACGGTGAAACTCTCGAAGACGAGCGAGTCGTCGTTTGTCTACCCTTCTTCGAGGAAAGTGCCATAGTGTCGTGAGCCAAAACTTGCCGTAGATCCAAGTGGAGTATCTGTGAAGGAAAGGAATGCGATGATGGGTGTACAGAACCACGTCTTTCGCGATGTCCATGCACCTCATCATGGAAGTGTGTGTGTTGTTGAGCCGTCCCGATGGTTGCGAGGATGCCAACGTAGTCCCTAGTCAATGTAGGTAAGCTGCGAGTCCGGCTACCACCGTCGCGACTGCTGCGGTCCCCGCAGTGTTGGACAGCTTGGGAAGTGACCATGCCTTGATCATGGCTTGGTAAGCTTCGCTCTTGGGGTTGGACTCGGCATACACCGTGAGGCGGGTGGCGATGTCCTTATGTGCTTGTAGCCGCAGTCCGCTCAACTTCAACGTGCTTATCCATGTTGTGGCCGAGGGTGCGGCGTAGCGTGTGAGCGAGCTGGTGAGGTCATGAACTTGTCGAATCTTGTCCATCTTCAATGCCTCCGACTGTTCGGCTTTCGGCGCGATGTCACTCAAGTAGTGAATGAGCTCGTCGGTGTCAGAGGATTTGACGATATCAAGTAGTGCTGTGTTTTGTCTGGTGTTGGGTGACTCGAAGAGCTGGGGCTCCAGATCAGTAAGACGACATTCGCACGCAACTCGAGCGAGAAGAAGGTCCTCACCAGCAAGAAATTCACCAACCAGATCCCGGGATCACCATCACCGGCACGATCATCGTGAACGTGAACCACCTGCGCCTGAAGCCAAGAGCAGAAAGCAAGAAGAACTTCAAAGAACCATCGCGACGGCGAAAACAGAGAACATTGAGGTGATGGAAGACATCACGATCCTTGACCTCACGTACTTGATGATAGACAACTCCATCAACATGCAGGCCGTGCTCAGAATTTTCGACGTCAATCTCGCAGCACTCGAACTACGCAATAGCACACGCCAAGTCGACGTCCTCAAGGCATTTGCCAAAAGCAAACCAGATGGCCATGGAGTCTACATGCTCAACAAATCAGAAGGCTCAATTGGCTCACCCCAGCGTCACTCGCTGTCAAGACCAAGCGCCCGAGCTGCACCGTCTACGAGTTCATCGAGCTACTCGACAACCAGCACGTGCTTGACTCCGCCATGCGCAAAATCCTGGAGTCGGAGACAGTGGACAGCATAAATCAATATCGTCAAGCCTTTCAGAACCTGAGCGCAGAGACCAATCAGGAGCTGATCACAAAGTCCATCGCGGTGAAGGCCCGGCCAAAAATGCCCACGGAAGTCGGCGTGCCGCGCCCGGACACCCCCGCCAAGGCTCCGCCGGCACCACTGTCGCCCGCGCTTGTTGCCAACCCGTCCTTCACGCCCCCGCCCCCACCACCGGCCGAGCCCATCCACCGGCCTCCCCCCAAGGCCATGCCCTACAACAGCACCAACCAATGCAGACATTACTACGCTTGTCAAGACTATTGCGAATGCGGACGCTGGTGCAACAAATCCCATGATCACGACGGCCGTCATGAGTGCGAGAGATGCCAACCCAGACCAGCCTGAATACCACCACACAACGACCGGTCCTATGACTCCAAGATCCGCATCGTGCGCAGAGGTGGCGAACATCACATTGGCGCATGAGTTGTAGCATATTGAGAGACACGCATTGCGCAGCACACATGAGTTCAAAATCGGCATAGAACGACGGGAGAGCATGCAGCTTGCACGTTTGTCACGCACAGCTACAAAAATTTCAGGATGACGACATGCCGATGCTTGAGTGAACCATGACATGAGCATGTGAGATGTGAGGAGAACGGATGCATAATTCAGTATAGATCCCACTTCATGCGTTTCGTTCAAGTCGCAGCTTTGCTCGCAACGCCGAAGCATTCGCTCACCACAGCTATTTCACGAGCATGAGTTGGTTGTCGCAGTCCGCGTTCAACAAGGCCTCGAAGGTGGCGTACGATCAGGACTACTTGGGGATGCCAGATCTACAAGTCACACTACGTTGGTACACCGTTCAGCTGATTTGGAACAACTCACCAAGATGGGCAACTCTCCACATCCATTCACTCCCCTCATGATCATGACCACAAGAACTTCGGCTACCACCTTGACAAGATAGACCTTCCAGATCCACAACCTCCCCGCCCACATGATCACGAAGAACAACTGCAAGCATCCAAGAAGAGACGCCAACACTACCAATCACCACACTACGCCAATCCGGAGGCCTTTGGAGTCTGGAGGAACCGCCTCCAACCTCATCCAGGACACGCCCATCAACCACTTGGACCCCATCGCCTTCGTCTCCGTGGAGTCCCATTTGGACCAAGTCATGCTATCGACGTGGGAGGCCATCAAGAACCCCGACACTCATCGCGAATGGAAGGAACAGACAGAATGGAACACCACCACCTACAACACCTTCACGGAGGCCATCCACAACCACCCGTTCGCGAGCCATCTCTCCAGAGTCCGGCAACAGGCGCGAGAAGACTCGCGCAAGATGGCAATACTACGTGCTTCAGGAGTTGCGCCAGGACGAATACCCGCAGCACAAGACGCCCAATCAACCTGGCTACACTCCAGACCCACAGCCTTCAACGCAGCGAGATGGGCAAGACTGGACGCAGATGCTGAGCCATCAAGAGCAAGAAGGTGAACAACGTCCGTTTGCCCCACGAATTTCCAACGATCCAGCATCAGATGAAGAGCTATCTATGGCGTCGGAAGGCACACCCTACCCAGCTGCTGAATGAGCAGTCGACCCAACCCATTGACTACACGGAAGTCGTCCAGCTCCTCGCC